CTAGATTTTTGGAAAAAGGGCTTCGTAGCGTAAATTCTATTTTGAAAAGGCGTCAAATGCCGTTTACAAATCGAGAAACGGATCATTGGTTCTGACATCGGTAAAGTAAATTTTACTTATGGTGCTGCCACGTGGTGGCCACAAATTGTACTATTGTCGGGACATTTAGCCTTAAGTCAAGTGCCAGCATTTCGGCTGCCATTCTGCGACCTTCTCCAGGGTGAAATGCCTTAACATTTGCCCAGACATTTCGCCCTGAGAATGGCGGCCCAAACATCGGCACCTGTGTTTCACGTAATATTGCACTAGTTATAGGCATGTTTTATCTCAAAAAGCGGCTCCAAATATTTTCCTCATATGAAGCAAAGGGCGATACAAAAATTGAACTGGGCCAATTTTCGCAACCGGCGCGTATTGCAAAATCGATCTCTGTATTTTCGAAAATTGTAAAAAATTAATACACCTTAAGTACAATTTTGATGATACGTTTTTGTCTTAAATCTGTTCTAAAAATTAGATCTTAAAAAAAGGTCATGAATTTTTTTTTTTTTTAATCGAGTAGTTTTCGATTATTTTTGCTTAATATTACTGCAATATATTTTAAAATTCTGACAATTGACTCCGAAGTTTGTCTTTTTTTCGAAGGTAGATTAAAGGACGGTTAAAAATGGGGCAAGTCTCATTTTCGTTGAATTTCCGAATATTTGAAAGTTGGAAATGTTTGAAACAACGCGAGAAAGTGTGTACTGTTGTAGCACCACTTGTTTTACCAAATAATGTTTCTCTGCTTAGTGCAGTCGCAGTCGTAGTAGTGCAAGCGTATGCAAAATATTTCAGAAGCAGTTTTGCCTTTAGGTTCTGAATTACTCGTATGACTTACGTTGTAGTGCAGGCCCTGCACTACAGGAACAAAAAATACATTTTTTGACATTTGAATGATAATTTTAGAGCAGGTTGTTTAGATCTTAAAATTTTAAGACTTTTAGAATCTTTTCTTCAAACGGAATCTAGAAATTAAAGAAAAAAATGGGCACTCAAAATATTTTGTTACAAAGCCCATTGCATAAATGAACGAATAGAAAGAAGTGCTACACTTCTATCTAGAAAGCTCTGTACAGTAATTACACTCTAAATCCACTGGATATACTATGTGATTTTGACCTCTGTACTGTTCTCAAAGACCAGAACTGCCTCAGCCTCTATACATATAGACATGATAATGGGTTTCAGTTTCATTGTTAAACAACTGATTGTGACAAGTAGGGCCAAAAAGTTCAGGCATATATTATACCTAAAATAGGCAGGTAAAAAGGCATTTACTTTGAATAAAAAATGGAGTGCTAAATGGCATGTAAGGAACGAATGATCATTTAAAATAAACTATTGAAAAAGTTCATAATTAAAAGGATTTAAATTTTCCTTTTAACTAAATTCACAGCAGCACTTCCATCAAAGGATACAATTTCTTTGTAATTGTGATTCAATATGACAACCAAATTTTTTTATGCATTCCTTCTATCAGCACTTACACTACTGAACGTTATTGTTACTGATACTTAATTTTTGGTATTAAGACTACAAATTTGTTTCACTTGCAACATTATTTGTATGAATGCTATTGCGAACTCTTTTGAATCCTGAAATGGCATCAGTGTAAAGGCTATTATTGTCCTCTATCACAACTCTAGAAGAACAGTTAAGCAATTCCTATTGTCGTTAAAAATGTAATAGATATTAACGTCATTAGATTCATAAACACCAAATAACGGCCGCGGCTGAAGTTGTAAACCAAGGTGACACATGAGGTTTATATAACCAAGTCAGTTATTTGTAATATCGACCATGTGCCATTCAGTACTTTTCTTATAAGAAAAAAATAATATAAATAAGAAACTCCATTGCTTTTAATACGTAGTAGTGCAATGCCATCTTGCATTTCGAATCTGTACGATTCTTGCTTCATACACGATATTTACAAGACCAAGAGAGATAATAATATCTTAAAGATTTTTTAAAAAGTAGAAGACATTTCATAATATAGCATTTCTTTATTATGTTAGAAGGAAAAGAATACAGTTTTAGAAAGAAAAAAAAGAGAAAAGGCAAAAATTATTACTTTAAACTGGTTTATAGTCCAGTTTAGATTCAAGTTTCTTGTTATCTGCCACTTTACGGACAGCTTTCATAAAATCTTCTTGAATTACATATTCACGTTCTGCTCTGATAGCGAAAAGTCCAGCTTCAGTGCACACATTCCTTAAATCTGCACCATTAAAACCATCTGATAACTTCACAACAGCTTCATAATCTGAAACAATACATGAAATATTATAAGGTGGCCCAAAAATTATAATGTTCGTATCAGTCTGTGTGTGTGCTCACTAATGTTGCCCCGTTGAGGCATTAGTAGAATCTTTGTTTCTAGTGGTACAGCATGAGGGAGGCAAGGTAGACTGTTCACCCATTAAAGAAACATTAAGGACAAGACTGAATAATTAATGTTCTCTTGTTTCCTGGGATGTTCGGCCTTTATATTCAGAGGCTAACACAATTTTAATTGTGTATTTTATATAAACCTTTCAAAATATTTATAAATCAATTTAGTTACTCATACAAGCTTCATAAAACTGCTTCAACGTAATAGAAATGTTAAATAAAACCTAAATTGTGTGTAATTTATAAAACAGATAATGCAGTCATGGCCAGGGAAAGCATATGGTGAATAAACAGCATTCTATACTTCAGATTTTTCTGAGCACAGAGTGCCATTCTGGAGAATTTCACGAGTTACATTTAAATTTTTGTCAATTAACGCATTTACTCAGAGCATTTATGTATTAGAATCATGTATGCTGGCCTACATGACTTCTGGGTTTTGCATAAACATGCTTCACAGTAACACTAATCACCACTCATTCTTCGCATGTTTAGGTAAATTAAAACATGAAGTGCAATCAAGTTTACAATTTTTTTAAGGCTACTGTTGATATCAAGCTGAAGAGATCAGCAGAGATCCGTTATTAATTTTTCAATCTATATTAGACGGAAATTTTATCTATTCGCACCCTGTTTATCCACTTCTATCTATTCTAGTGGATCCCTGCCCTACTTGTCCCCAAAGAAATCATCCAAATTGTCGCAGTTTTAGCATTCACATAAGTATTTATATACTCTGGATTCATGCATTTTTTCAATTGATTTCATAACGCTTGGGACACTTAACCCATTACAACTCAGTGTTGACCATATCAAACATGATGCAACAATATCATTCCTTCATTAATACACTAAATATATTTTCATTTTCATTATTGATACAAATTTTTGTTAAGTGAAGTCATATTTTCAATTTGGCAACAATGGAATCACAAATTATATGAAATTAGGAGTGTTTGTGATGGTTAAAGTATTAGTTCCAGACTATTATCAGAACGAAAACAATGTAAGTATGTGAAATTTGTTGCAGGACATGTAACACACAACCTCTCAGATGGATTAATGAAGTTTTAGATAACAATGAAATGGAATTGGGTTCTAATATAAAGGTTGCTGATGAAATTGAAGAGGTATTAAATGATCCTATTGTTGCCAATAGAGAGCTTTTGCAGTTAATCTGAAAGACTCATTGTTATAAATAACGAAACATCAAATCTTGTGTGATACTCAAGAGTTTTTGCAAAATGCTTACTGATTTACTTTACTGATGCTCAGCTTTCTGATTTAGTACTTTGATTTTTCACATCATTTGTTCCATCTGTTCGAAATGCATTGTATTGTTGAATATTTGAGCAGTAAGTCTAATTAAAATTTACGTTAAATATATTCCTAGATTGAATTTTTTAAATGTAAAATTACGAACCCAAAATACGTTGTAATGCTGGTTACATTCTTTCAGAGGTTACAGAAAATTGAATTGCAATAACATCTAATACTACAATTCAAAGAAACACATTAATAAGTTAATAATTACAACAACAATACAATTGGTGTACAGCAATTTACTTACCAATTTCTCCATGCTTTGCAATAGGTCCAGCATGGATTTTCAAAATTTCAAGTCTAGCTTGTTCGTTTGGCAAGGGTATTTCAATTTTTCGATCCAAACGTCCAGGTCTGAGCAAAGCAGGATCTAGTGTGTCAGGTCTATTGGTTGCCATGATAATTTTAACCTAAAATTAGTGATCGGAAATGACATAAAAATTACAAAATCAGAGCTGTATTACATTCTTTTAATTACAATTGGGGTCCAAGCAACATAACGCTAACCCAAAACATCCAAAATAATGATCATAAAATTTCCTCAAATAACAAACATTAGGCTCCAAACTCAGCACAAAAGTGTTTATAGAACTATAATATATACAGGTACAGAAAGCAGCAACAAGTGAATATGTTTAGGTTAAGAGACCTAATATTAGCTGCCTAATAGGAGTAGCCACTTAAATCACACAGAGTGATGATTTGGATAATGATGAAAACATGAAATAGAGCAAATCATTCTTAACTTCATCTGGCCAATGTTGACATTAACCACAAAGTGCAGTCTAATACAACTCATGAAGGCTGAGGCATCTTGAATACTGTATTCACAAGTCCCTTCACATAAAAATGTTTAGGTAATTATAAAATGCTTAGACCCAAGGCTGTATAATTCAAATCATCGTCAGAGGCCACTTGCCCACTTGGAAATATATAGCAGTGTCAACTTAATTATGTAACGAGGTTAGGATCATGTAAAAAGAAATTTAAACCTTGTCTCTCACTAGCCTTCGAAAGTTACCTGATACCTGTCATCTCATTTTATCTACTATTCATCAATGTATTGTACCACATCTATCGTAGCCACCTTGTTATGGCTAATATCAACTTTTTTGGGTTTTAAGTTCATAGTTCTTTAGGTAAGTTCTGCTCTGAAGCAATTCCTACTTTGGATTACATCCATTCATTTTGAATAACTTTAACAGAATTAGCCATCTACCATAAATAGAATACTGTATTTATCCAATTGTAAGCAACCTTTTCCCCCCTTTTTTAAATTTCAAAAACTGACCTTTGTCTTAGAATCAGCATCATTGTGTCGGTCTAATGTAACTGATATCAGAACTAATGTAACTGATAATGTAAAGATATCTATGTTTTGTTGGCCATGCAGCCAACAAGATAGAAAGTATGGATAAAACCTGTGTAATGCCACCACATGTATGATTTGAAATATATAATTATCTGATTAAAATTCTGAGTGACAGTTGGGGTAAAACAGGGTTGACTTACTCACAACACACACTTAGTTCTGACCACCAAGCCCAAAACCAATCCCAACAGTCATTCATTTTCAGCGATCTCAGGCTAGTCTATTGCAAGTGGGCGCTTGAATAGACGATGCCTGGAAGAGTATTCCTAGAGAAGTTATCGCAAGGGCTTTTAAAAAGTGTTCAATCTAAAAATGCCCTTGACAGACTGCTGTCCTCCTGTGCTCCTCTTCACTGAAGAAGACTTGCTTTTCATGGGCAAAAGTGACAAAGAGTTAAGTGAGGAATCTGAGTCATCCGATGACAGCGTCTGAATCAATGATCTCTAAAATGTATAGAAATCAGTGATCTGAGCGCATTAAACATGAAATCTGTTTCTTACATTTAAATAAATAAATTTCCTTTTTTCCATTCATTATTTCTTGGGGTTGGCTTACAATAAATGCTGTATACACAAACAAATGCCTGGATTTGCTTCTTCACTTGCCTTCTGGTTTTAAAAAATTTCAGAAATAATGGTTATCATTATGTTGCTCCTGCCACTACGTAAGAATCAGAGGCAGAATGAAAATGAACTATATTCCAAATGATTCATGAAGGGCATTACAGGTCATGAAATGATTTCTAAATTAGGAAATCCTTTTTCTGAGTCGACTTCTAAGTAACATTTCATGGGATATTATGTTTAAAAGAAGCATTAAAAGCAAGATAAAGAACACAACATAAAATACGCTGAAGAATTGTGAAGAAAGCAAAGGTATTATATTTTTAGAGGTAGAATTACCAGCATAGATTCTGGCTAATGTTCAAGACCATGTTAAATGAAGTGTTCAATACCCCATCTACGCAATCTTGCATTCGGAACCAGGAACAAAATGCCAACAAGATGCAAATATAATCAAGAAGAGAGATTCAGAAAGAAATAAAAAATACAAACACCAAGCAACATAGATATATAACTAAATGAAAGGAAAGAAATATGATAGTAAAATAAAAAAGGAAACAAAACATTACTGCAGAAATTGTCGGTACAATTTGCAAATTTTCAAAAGGACAAAAGGAAAAGCAAAAATAGAATCTTTTAAAACATTAATAATTCGTTTTTAAAAAAACTGAATTCCCTAACCTATAAACCAAGGTTAAGGTGATCCATTAATAACTAATTGAAAGTTCATATAAAACAAGTACTATCAAATGAAGAACGTCAAATTCTGAACACCTATATGTTTTCTCAAGTCATGATGTTGTTGATAAATATCAATGCTGGAAAGCAAAAGACATTTTGAATGCAAGTGAATTTCCAATCAACATTCAATTTTCAACTTCAAATACTGTTGACTCCACAGGAGTGATTGTTACAACTTTGTTTAAATTCACATATACACATACTTGTCCAAGAGAATCAAATCCATCCATTTGGTTCAGGAGTTCCATTAAAGTACGCTGTATCTCACGATCTGCAGATGTTCCTTCTGAAAACCGCCGACCACCAATAGCATCAATTTCATCCATAAAAATGATACATGGTTGATGATCTCTGGCATAGTTGAACATTTCTCGAATGAGACGAGCACTTTCTCCAATGTACTTATCAACAATTGCACTGGATACAACCTAAACAAGACATCATTGAACATTATAAGCAAGAAAACTTTTGAAGTTTCAATTAAATTTCCATAATATACGCACCTTCAGGAAGTTTGCATCAAGCTGACTGGCAACTGCTCTGGCAAGAAGAGTCTTCCCAGTTCCAGGAGGGCCATACAACAGACATCCTTTTGGAGGAGTAATGCCCACACGTTGGAAAAGTTCTGGATTCAACAAAGGTAACTCTATTACCTGTAACAATGAGAAATTTCCAGTTTAAATTTTATTCTCTGTTGGATAATGATGCAGTGAGAGGAGAATTAGGTAAAAGTATTTTACCCACTGACAAAAATGCATGGATGATACTCGCAAGTGAGCAGCTAAGAGAAATAATCTATTTGTCTTCTGAAGTGCTGCTTTCCATGAGGAAATTATTGTCACACATTGCAGCAAATATTGAACTCAAAATTGAAAACCCTAGTAACATTCCTCTTTGAGTAGTAACATTACTTAAACTGCTAGAGTAGATACATTTTGATTAAAGTAGAGTACACGGTACACCCTTAGGGGAAGTGTGGTGGCTGGGGGAGTGGAGGAAAGGTGGAGAAGGGGACAGCAATGAGGAGTCTCCATAAGCTCTCCCTCAAATTATGCTAAGCTTTCTGGCAGAAATGAATAAAACTTAGCGATACGAGACTTTTATGGCGGTTTAACTGACGGTTTTATGATCCAAAGATAGGTCATTACTATTGCCTGAATCAAACTCAACTTGCTTCCCGCAAACCATGAGCCCTTTAACACGGACACAAAGAGTGGCTACTTTCTGGGTACACTTCCACTTTGAACCATCACACAACTTCTTTCGCTAGACCAACCTCGTAGGAAACTTACACACAGCACACTTAAATCCTACAGCAATCAAACCACGTTCTTGCCCCCATTCAATAACAGCCTAACACCCCCTTTGGCGCATTGTGTAAAAGAAGACACATATATTCTCACCATTGTAGCACACACACTTGAAACTCAAAAACACAAAAGATCTGAAGAACACAAGAAACTGTAACTGTACGACAGCAACATAGCTAACCACTTCAACAGCCAGACACAAAAAATCATGAAGACAAGAACACGATTTACATGCCACCACACACCATTTCGTAATGAAGTTTTGACAAGATAATAGGGTGAAATTGCCCACCTACTATCTTGTCTAAGTGTATGCCTAAGTGCTGTCTATCCCAATGAATTTGGAACACCATTGCATGATTGTGCACAATTTTTAGAGGTACACAAGTTTCTACACATCAATTTAATATATAAAAAACTAAGACACACAAGCTTTCAGGATATGTGACATTTCTTACATTTATTTTAAAAATTAATATCCCTAAAACAAAAAATACAGACCTCTCTCAATTCTCTAATTTGCTCACTCAGACCACCAATAGCAGAGTATGTAACATCTCCAGGATCTTCATGGGACATATTATACACAAGAGGGTCCACTTCTCGAGGAAGATAGCGCATTATAGTTAATGTTGTCATGTCAAGAGCTACTCGAGTTCCAGATTTCAATTTTGCCTTGTCTAGTTGTCTTCGACATCCCACCACATAACGAGGACCATTTGTTGCTTTCACAATAACTATACAGAAAAAATAATTATTACCTTTTATATTTGGTCTCTATACACTTCCATTAGAAACAAACCAAAACATTGTACTTACATTTCTCTTCTGTTAGTTGTTTCAAGACCTCTCCAACTATCTACAACAGTAAATATTCAATACATAATTACCACAATAAAAATTTTTCAAAGTGCTTATGATCATTCGATTAGATTTTACCTGGCCAACGCTCTGGAGAGCTTTGAGATCATTTTCGGACTTATCATATTGCTTCGTAAGATCTTTCAACTGTTCCCTCACTGTAACAGGAAAGTAATATGCATTAGTTGATGTATTCCTTCAAAATGTGTGTGGTAGCGTTTCATTAAAAATTAAAATTACCTTCTTTTAATCGGCTCTCAACCTCTTTGTGTTCCAGAAGTTTTTTTCTATAATCATGGAGCGCCTTTTCTCGCACAGCATCCACAGACACAGCCATCTTCCCCACCGCCATCAGACACCCAAAAATATTTCAATTTCACGATCTGGATTTCAGCAATAGTATTTCTCGACAAGTTGATCTGACAAGTACTCGTGTTGCAAACAGCCAAAGACTTCCAATTCTCTCCGTCCCCTTTCGTCACAGCTTCAATTCAGCTGCGTAATTGAGTCGTTCTTAGTTTCATCGTTCACAAACGATGAATCACAGTTTAATGACAGGGACGAATAATTTCACTAGATAGAAAATGTGGGGATTAAAATAATCCAGGAACATTAGAGATGATTTAATATCAGACATAGTCATTTGTTAATCTGTTCATATATATTTATATTTATGTTTTATAATATCAAATATTGGTTCTTATACCATATTGTAACTACACGATGTCGTAATCAATGAGACGGAATCGGTTCATTTCCGCGAGCGAACGACAAAACCATCGCGAGAGATATGTGTCGTATATATACGCTCAAATTTTGAAGGAGCAGTGACGCTTCGTCACGTCTTTCCAACAAAACAGCGAGGCTCCGGCCTAACAGGCCTAATCAATCAACATCAAACATCAATGACTCAGTTCAACGCATTTTATGGCAAATAATATTTTTTGCTCAGCTTCATATTTTGGCGCTTTACTACGCTTGGCGAATGTGGTTGGCGACGCTCCGGCGATTGATATCAAACATTTATAAACTAGAAGTGATACAAGATAACGTACTTTCTCACCTCAGTAATGGTTACTGAATATTATAATGTGGCAATTTCTGTAGATGTTAACACATCTTAGTCATAACTTGTAATACTCATTAAAAATCGTAGAAATTAGGTGCGAAATCTAATTAGTAGAAGCTCATAACACAAATCCGACTGTTGTTAAAACTGCGCTACATACCGAGGTGGAAAGCAGGGACGGATACAAACTATTTGGGGGGGGGGGGGCGGCATCGTAGATTTTTGTTTAATAATAAACATATTTGTTATTATATTGTATATTATATACTGTATATATGATACTACTATATAATATTATCGTTTAAATAATTACAATTCAAACATAAACATTTTAATAAATTTTGCCAAATAAAGGAAGGTAAACGAAAACTTTAGACCTGGATCCGCCAGTGGTAGAATGACGATGACTTCGGCAACTGTCTCTTATTTTACCAAAGTGCTCGAGAGCATGTTCCACGGTAAGATATGCCCTGCATATGTCAGAGGTACGGAGTGGGTCACAACAGAGATATCCATGGGAGTAGTGGCAGCGACCGAGAGGGAGGCCTTTAAGTTTGATTTCCTCGTGCCGGACACTACGACGAGGAGGGGCAATGTTTAATGGAGTTCATCCTCTTGGGTTAAAAATTCCAGTTTTGCCCCTATGTTTTCCATGCATTGAGTGTGCCAAACAGTGACAAATTATGAAAACTTCAAATCGTCTCAAGGCATTGTATGTTTTTCTTGTAGCCATTGTTGTCTCCTTAGGAGCTATTTAATTTAATTTCCATTTATTCCCATGAAATCAGGTACCCAACAGAAAACCAAGCGATAATGATAAATTAGATGAAGGATTAGGCGATGTAATTGATGTAGGGTATTCATTGTCAAGGGGTCACAAAATGAGATGGATTCAAAAGCACTTGTGGAATCACTGCTGACCACAACTTCCCGTAATGACGCTGATATTGTACCTCCAATAGTTCCAGCATACGCGCTGCACGAAGAGTCAATACAGAGGCAGCGCGTGCCGTTGTAGCAGCAGCCACATCCCACTTAGCATTTTTTGGAAGAACCAGTGCAGAAGAAGTTTTGGCCGGAATACTTGGATTTTGTCTCTTGGAATTGGTTCAGAAATGCAAGAAAAGGATGTGTTGATGTATGGAAATCTAAGGTGTTTTGCGGACCGGAAAAGTTCCCAGGGGGAAACAGGACTTCGAGCGGGTTTCTCAAGGATGGAGTTAAACGTCAACCTTCTTTCAAAGGAATGTAGAAACGTAACGGTAATGGCTACTGAAGGACAGAATAAGTGCTTTCTCCTTCTTTCAAGTAAAATAACAGCTTCCCCTACCCCAAAATTTAGAGCTCATGACTGCCGCAATGCCGCTAAAAGTGAAATGGATGCGAAAAGTACTTCTCGTGGATACCAAATTGTCATAGGCGCAAATGATTTCAGACGTGAATTGCGAGATAAAATAAATATCCTAAATTTGCTTTAATACGAAAGAAAATCATGACAGTGCACCGGCAAAACACCCTTGAAGTCATTGTATGCAGATTACCCAAATCAAATGTTTGGAATTCTAAGACACACTTTTCACGTGTGACAGCAAGGGGTGCAATACAGCCTAAATTCATTGTCGTCTGAGTCGTGTGTACGTAAAATTTTCGCGAGTGCAGGTGCATTTTTCGCAAAGTGCGGAAATGGTACAAAAACTTTGAAGCAGGACGTACAGACGTTCATGATGCAGGCGATCAGGGAAGAAAGCGAGTGTCATCAGGGGTTTCCAAACTGTGCGTCGCGGCTCTCAGATGCGTCGCAGTGATTTATTAAAAATGGTCTTTCGATTTAATTTACTTTAATCCTTGTGTCATTTATGTCTACAAAATAATTTTGTACTATCACACTATATGTTATTTATAATGTATGTAGTTTATTTTACTAATTAAGGATAATAATAAATAATAATAATAATAATAATAATAATAATAATAATAATAATAATAATAGTTTATTGAGTCACATATACAATTACAATTGTGTATGAAGAGTCAATATGTCGTGGGTACAGAGAGTGAAGTTACATTATTGCCCAGAATCAAAACAAGGGGACATCTCAGCATTTACTCAAGGACCAGAGAAACTGGACAAAATACTTATCAAGATGGGGTCACTGGCCTAGGAATTATACTACAATACTTGTTACAGATAGATTAAGATATTATCAGTATATATTTATTTTTAGCAGCAAAATTATTCAACATTTCAAGATTTGTACTGTTTTATGTTTAAAGCAAAAGTAAAATTTACATGCTATTGATATTTTACTGCTACTAATATATAATAATAGTAACATAAATAATAATGATAATACCATCACCAGTTAGTTTGTTTCGGTGGAATCATTGAATTAGTTTGTTAATGGCTGAATTGGCTTTGTCTGGTAAAGCTTTTGTTGTTTTTCTTTGAATATTACATTAGTGTTATCAGCAAAAAGTACAGTTTTGTTATTTTCCATTATTGATGGCAGGTCATTTAGAAATACAAGAAATAAAATCGAGCCTAGTGTGGGTTCTTGCGGGAACTCACAGGTCACATCTCTTGGTTCGGAGTGATGATTTTTTTCTCATCTTTTTGGTAAGGCAACACCTCTATTTGTCTGTCCGTTAGATATGATTTTACCCACTTGTAAGCAATTCTTCGGATTCCATAAGATTCTAATTTTGACAATAGAATTGTATGGTCTATTGAGTCAAAGACTTTTGACAAGTCAAAGAAGAGACCAACAGGAATTTCTTTTTGTTTCAATGCCATGAAGATTTCATTTACAAATGTGAATATAGCAATTAATAATGGATTAATTGAACCTGGTAAGTTCTTTACAAATAGCCTTATATCACTAACTCAATGGCGGTGTTGAATCTTTAGTAGGCCTATATTAACCCTTGTTTGAAACTTATTGTTGTGAAAACCACGGGAAGTTTCGTTTAGGCCAAGAGAGTTAAGGACGAAAAACGTTTGAAAATCCCTGGCCTATATCATGAACGTCTGTAGATCTGCTTCAAAGTTCGTGCACCATTACCGCACTTTGCTATTACTCATGACAATTTTAACGTTACATGACTCATTCGCCAAAGAATTTCGGCTGCATTACACTCCTCACCATGTAGAAATTGAATGAAATCACGCACTATACACTTGGTAAACTCTATTGTTTCAGACATTTTTACGTGTTCATTGCTGGAACTGACGCTATGCGATCGATGAGTGACACGTGACGCGAATAAAACTTCTACAAACACCGTGCAACACATCTGTGCACAGCGTCATCGAATTTTCACTGTAGTTTTAAGTCCGTGATCGAGATAGCCCTAAAATATTATGTCCGTGCGTCCCAGAAGGCGTTTCCAGACTCAGCGCGAATGGCATCCCTCTTTGCTAGCGGCGTGGATACCTCACTACTGTCACGCTCAGTGCCACAATAAACTGGAGATTACAGCTTCATTGGATGACGGAAATGTAATTTCGAAAATTCAGAATCCTTCACATAAAATAAAACTTTAACTTAAAATAAAAGTTGAACACAAGTCTCTCTTCAAATAATACTTACATAATTTTGTGTGCTGTGCCCGTGTCAAGCAGTGGCGGCTCTTGCTTAGGTTGCACAACCCCAGATAATCGAAAAATAGTTTATAATCGTTTAGGATTTTACATTATCGTTTTAATAACATTCAATATCCAAGACATTGCAGCAATATCGATGTATGTGAAATCATTTTGAAATCAAAGAGCTCCCAACTGGAGCTCTCTCCGGCGGCGTTTGGCTTTTACCTCTATTACCTGGCTATTACTGCGTTTACTGCATTTTCTCGTTGACCCTATCCTTCAACCACGGCCGGCACAGGTCTATCGGTGGAGGGTTTGGTCGCCGTGTGCTGCACGGTGTTCCGAGGGGAATACCAATTTTGTCTTCGTCTGACACTAGCTGTAACTTAATTTTAACAATTTCGAGGGTTATTGAAAGTACACAAGTTCAGTTATTGACGGTATTTAATGCATTATTCATGATGTTTGGAGAAATTGTTTTCATTTGATATTAGGTTTATTGATTGAAAATGTACACTTGAATTCTTTGTGAAAAGTTGGCCATTCTGGAAGAAAGTCACTCAAAGGACTTATCAAAGGTACATTTTGAATCAAAAACTAACATCAAATAAAAATAAAATTTTCTAAACATAAATAATGCATCCAATACCGTCAGTGGCAGCTCGTGAATATTATATGCGCACATTTGCATGTACACACCCATATCAATTCGGTACAAATTTTCTTAAACATCTCAAGCCAGTCGGCGCACAATCGGCAATGCAAACGAGGAAAGAACGCTTAGACCGCCTCGGGGCTGGTTGGGGAAAGAGGGAGGGTAATAGTGGCATATGGAAGGATGGAGCATTCCGCCGGCGACATGAGTATTACTACAGCGTGGGTGCAATAACGATTTCGAGTAACTTGACATGTGTCGAAGATACAACACTCGTCTGGCACAAGTTTTTAAGAGAAGTGTGACATCGAACGAAGAAAGTGTCTACATAATCTATATACTGAAATGAGCTCCGCGCTAGCGCGCGAAACGCAAACGCATTGCTGTGCGATGTTGCATTCATAAAAATTTTAAGTGAATATTATATGCGTATTTTCTTGTG